ATCAAATATAGGAGTCATGTTTTCAGTGTGTTGTATGTTTGAAACCTAGACTAAAGTTGGGATGCACCAGGAGAAAGAATTTGCTCAAATAGGCAAAGTCTTAAGGTAAGAAATATATGCCAAGATTTTGGGGTTAGTCATCACGGCATCCACCGAAAACATTAAACACGCACATCCTTCTTACAAACTCCTACCATGTACATGTATATAGAATTCTATCCTTGAGCATATATGATACGATGTTGTGCATGTAAAATTCAAGATCTATATACCACAAGATTGTTTTTTTTAGTACATGAAAGTCACAATCACTTTATCAAATGTAAAATAAGCTTCGGATGTGTCACAAGGTTCATAATATTTTTTAGATTTTAAGCTTAACCAATGATACATGCCCAACTATCTGGAATCACATCTGATAATCACAAGTGATTGTGACCTATTTGTACAAAAAAAATGCATGGTCCTATGTATACTTTTCTTAAAATTTACACAACAAGGGATACGGTAAAACTAAAGAAATTGATCAAAATACCGATTAAAATTGGACTATTTAATATTTTACCCAGTTAGTTTGACTTAATTTCGAAGTATCCATCAAATGATACGTGATAATGAGTTTGAATAGCTGCCAATTGGTAAGATGTTAAGCAATGCATTTCCCATTAGTATATAAATTTGTCTTTATAGACTTTTCATACCATAAAACTTATAGAATTTGTTGATATTTCATTTCCTTTCTTTTCAACCAAACTACATGCCTCGTGTAATGTGATTTTTTTAAAATTAAATTGCAATGTAGCTCTCAAGTTAGTTTTCTATTCACCCTGTTCTCAATATGCTGTATGCATGAACAAACCCATCAAAAGTCATATCACACAGGTCAAAAAATCTTCAAAATTTTTTGTCCGTGCACTTTTATTTTACCGTTATTACGTGAAGGTAAAAAAAAATGCTATATTTACATGGATGTCGGGTCCCCTTAAATTTTTTGTACTCTTTTCCAAATTCATTTTCTATTTTATTATCTTTTAGTTTTTGAAGTTTGAGGACCGTTCGAGAGGCCGGGGGATAATTTTGGGGTCTGACCGATGTTTCAAACATGAGACTATCTTAGAAGTTGGATTGGCCAGATGTTCAAAAAGTCAAACCGCCTTAGACCTTAAAAAACAATTAAAAGCATTCCGACGTTAGAAACATTATTTTGCCTCTTGTTTTGTTGCATTTTCCATTAGTATAAATTAAGAATGATAAATTGTATTATACTGTGTGTATGTACTATAAAGAGAGAGATGTATGTACATATTATAAAGAGAGATGTATGTATGTGTATTCCTCTTTCATTAGTGTCTAAGAAACAGGGAATCATGCCATGGCCTATAAAGAGAGAGATGTACACATGGACCTATGCATGGATATGTCAAGATTCAAACTTTTTAGTGGGGCCAATATATTCATAAACTGCCAAGTATTTGAGCTTCTCGGTATATATATTATAAATCAAGTACCATGTTAGGTATTTTTTTTATGGAATTGTATACAATGAGACTATTTATCTTTATTCCAAGGAGGTCACGAGTGTTATTAGATGTCAAATTGAAAGACTTGAGATGTGACATAAAGTTCGAGAATTTTTTTTGAACTTTTAAATCTAGTCAATGATACACTCAACCATCGATTTAAAAGCTGATTGATACGAGTGATTATGACCTATTTGTATTAAAAGTAAATGGTCTCTTAATATACTTTTGCTTTTTTTTGTCACTAATTTGATGTCATGCAAATCCTTTTAGACATCCCGATCGGCACGACCTGTCGATCTCTTATCGCGATTCCACAACTAAACCAATATCTAGGAAGAGACCCATTTCTATTCTACAACTAAATCATTGTCTAAGAAGAGACCCATCTCTATTCTACAGCCAAATTGATGTACATAAAAAGACCCATTTCTATTCCACAGTTAAAGTGTTATCTAGGAATAGACCCATGAGAGCAATCGAGAAACCACCTAAAATCTTCGTGAGAGCTGCTTTTTTATAAGAAACCAGCCTCTCAATCTATAGGATGCACATGCATGATGTTTCTCTTAATGAGAAGCTCTCTTCTCTCTAAGAGAAGGCCTTTCCACTGATGTAGAAGAGGCTCCTACATCTCTTTCTCTAGAGTAAGTTACATTTTTCATATGGTGACCCAAATAAGACACACATAGTCTTTTATCTTTCATCATATATATATATATAATAAGGTTAGGAGTCCACACTATGTAAGAAACTTTTTATAGATGTTAAATATATCTCAAGAGCCAAGAGATATATCCCAAAATCCTAATCTTTTTGGATTTCTATTTTTTTTTGAAAAATTATCAATATCAATCTTAATCCCCCACAATATAAGATTTCTTTATATTTCTTTATATAGATGATTTTGGATATTACCATATGCAACCTATGGTAACGTAAGAATCACCATGGAGCGTAAGGCACAATCATTTTTCGAGAGTTCTTTTCTTTCTCTAAAATCCTTTATGTACAACCAAAACACGCTACATAAAAGACCACATAGAACTCATAAAAAAAAAAAGAAAAAAAGGGAAGAAAAAGAATGGAAGTCTCTGGTCCTTGCTCAACAGCAAGGCATTTGCTGGAATCAACATTGCTTACTACTCCCAACTGGTGTCTCTACCATTGCTCCTCTACTCTTCATTCAGAGCCTCTCATAAATTAGCCTTAGAATTAAGCTAACAGTTTCTCTGTCGAACCCTTGAATCTCTACAAGCTCCAAATGCTTGGCCTACTGGCCTTGAGATTGAGCTTGGCATTTCTCTCTGTTCCTTATGAATTCATCTCTAAGCATGAGATGCTAGGCATAGGTTACTCATAATTCTTCTCTCACTCGTGAATCAATATGGGGCAATTAGTCTTGGGACTCAGGTTACAAATCCTCTCTCTCTTACTCTTGAGTTCATCAACAAGTTCCAAATGCTAGGCGTGGGGGCGGTTCAAGATTAAGCTCTCAATTCTTCTCATGTATTCATTTTAAGCCTCCAAAAGCTAGGACAGGTTAAGCTTAGAGTCTATCTCTCCTTCACCATGAATCCATTTCCAAGATGAAAATGCTAGGCAGAAGGCTTTAGGATCACCTTCACATCTCTCTCTTACTCATGAATCCATCAAACTTGCCAGAGTCAACCAGTGGCAGTGGCACGGCCAAATCCGGGCGCCACCCCATTTATCGAGGTGTTCGACAGAGAAAAGGTGGGAAATGGGTCTCCGAGATACGTGAGCCAGGAAAATCAACACGGATATGGCTCGGGACGTTTGCCACCCCAGAGATGGCTGCCATAGCATACGACGTAGCGGCCTTAGCCCTAAAGGGCAAACATGGTACGATATTCAACTTTCCAGACTCTGTACCAGATCTCCCTTTTCCAGCCTCAAATTCCCCTTTTGATATTCGGGTTGTAGCTGCTTCTACCGCAGAAGCAGTCTCTTTGTCGAGAAAATCGGATTCTAAACTCCAAAAAACCGACTCCAGGACAACTGCCCAAACGACTTCCAGTGATCCGAAAGTCACCGGTGATTCGTCAAAAAATCCGACTTTTGGGGTGTTAGGAAATTCTGACATGACTGAGTTTATGGATGAGGAGTTGATATTTGACATGCCAAATCTGCTGGTGAACATGGCTGAGGGCATGATGCTCAGTCCTCCCAGGCTTGATGAGGGGGAGGGTGGTGGTTGTGGAGATGACAATTTGTGGAACTATAAGGAGGAGCCATGAACTTTACGTGGTCATGCATGCTATAATTGGTACGTAGAATAATAAACCTCAGAAAGAAAGATTTGAATGACCCTTTGTCTTTTCTCCTCTTGCAATCCCATTAACTAAAGAAAATTTAGGGTCTAGTTTTTATCACTTGTCAAGTTGAAAAGAAATCCATAAAACAAGGGAAGAAAGAAGAAATGGCAAGGGGCCATCATCATTTCTTGTTTTTTATGGGTAGGATTTGTGCTAATATATGGGATTTGTCCTTTTTGAGAAAAGCTCCATGTGACCTGAGTGTTTTAAGCCGGCCATGTAAAGTCAAGTGTAAATGATGATGACCTGATATTAGGTTAGGATTCAAGTTATGATTTAAGATATTGTTATAGGAAAATATCTCCGTCTCTTTTTTGTCCCCCCTAGGCTCTTCCTATAGTTGGGTAATGATAATCTTTTTTTGTTCCCCCTAGGCTCTTTCTCTAGTAGGGTAATGACAATGTTAATGTTTTAAAGTTTGGCTCGGCCTCGAAATCAGGCCTACCCCGGGCGAGTTATTTGACCGGTTTTGAGAGTCGACTCGGCCAAGTAGTGTACAGGGTGCCCAACAGACCCATGTTAGTGTTATCGCCACCTTCCTGTGTGCCGCCAAGCGTTTCTTATTATTCTCTTGGGTGCCGTTTCAGTGTAGATTGTGCTATGTTTGGGTGGAGGATGTCACTGGAAATGTTTTGTATAGTTTAGTTGGGGTCTTAAAAGGTAGGTGTTGTAAAAGCCTTCGAGGCGAGGGTATAGGATGTGCTTGGAAGTCTTGGGAGGGGTCATCTAAGGAAGAAGGAAGTACCTCTTGTATTCTTCTGTTTCTTCTTCATTTCATTGCACGGTCATAGTTGTCCGACAGTTTTTCAATTTTCATTTTTTCTACAAATCTAAATTATTTGAAATTTGGAGCGTGTACATCTTAGTGAGACACACCTAATAAAAATATGAAAAAAATAATTCATAAAATATAAATTAACTAAAATACC